TAGGTTATTTGCCTCGTATAAAGAAAATAACGAATTTATAAAAAGAATATCGCATTTAAAGATCTTTTACGAAGTGGTGGTTTTCGAATTTCATACAATATTAAGCAATTGAGAATTTGCACAGTTCGTTTATTGAGACATCTTTTTGTGAAATTTTATGATACAAAATGGCGCTGACTCGAAGTAATCAAATTGTATAAAAACATACCGATAAGCTCTTGTTCCAATCTCTATAATAATAAACACTTAATAAGATCTGGTTATGTCTACCATTTGGAATTATTTCATTCTTAATATAAACAAATGTAGAATTGAGGTTAAGTAGTCAATAATCATAAGCGCTTATAAAGATAAAATTTACAACGCGTTCCGTATAAGCTGCATTGTAATCTCTTTAAGGCATCGCATAAAAGGGAAACGTCATGTAATGGCTTCATAGTTTGCTTGCTTTTTATTGTCAGTATAAAATTGATTTTAACTCGAGTCCAGGTTGTCAATTACATGGCAATTAAGTGCCTTATTTACTTGCTGTTGTTCTAACTAGTACTTTTTATTGAAGGACATAAAATGGTATCCGAGTTACAGATGTAATTAGTTATGAATATTTGTAACGTAGCTTTGCAATGATTTAACGGATCTGAATGGATTTTGGAAAATATATTACATGACATGACAATTGTATGATTTTCATAGTAAATATTTGTTTTTTTCACACAATACGATTAAAAATTATTTGCAATTTATTTTATAATTCCTCGCAGATGAAGTCGCATTTTTAATACTCTAATAGTTAAATTTAATATTTGTATCTATTTAGAAGTATTGATTTAGAAGTTATTTACCTATGTAAGTTTTTAAGAATAACGCTTTAGAAACAATTAAATTTCTTTCAGTTCGTTTTAATAATTCTTCACAATATTAAAAGTATAATTGAGCTGTAGCATGTAAACGTGGTCGTGTTCTAGTTAGAAAGGCGCCGTAGAATAACCAAATTATAGTGAAGACCATGCATCTCAATGGTACAGTGCATGTGTAGAATGATTCATAAAACTAACGTTACTACACAAAATGTATTCTTAATATTAGTGCTCCGTTGATGTCAACAAATACCATGTTATACGTCCAAAAATGTAAAATCCATAAAAATGCTATGAAATAATAAGCAAACCATATCCTAATTCGATTAATATCGCAATATCTATAGCAAATAATACTTAAATATCATATTTGCAGGACCTAAAGATTCAAAAAGGCCAAACAATAAAATACGACAAAGTCGATTAATATCTAGAATTGAGGCATTTCACGGTATATTTAATATACAATTTCTTAAATTACATATCAGGAATGAAAACCAGTTTATTTGCATAATGCTCATGAATTTTATACAATGGAACGAAATTAGTCATGATATTGGCAAGGATCGTGTGAGATTACATCGTCGATGCTATACTGTTATTTTCACATAAGGAGGCAATTTTACACTCCATGCTGTCATAAACAGTGGTAAAACTTATGCTAACACATTTTTTTTTTAATTTGCAACTGCTTGATATTTGGCGGACACGACTGTACGCTTGTGAAGCCAGTTCGCATCTCCCGATATCCACTCAGGCCTGTGCAGGTGAAATAAGAATCGACTTTGCATTAAAGAAATCAAGACACAACCATGCCTTTTTATTTTCGTCTCAGATGCGGACTTTACTCTTATTTTAATTTTGTTTAACATTTTAAAAACCTTAATCTCGCGACTGTACTCCGTTGAATAAATAAATTTCATTATCTTTAATTAAAACTTACCCTTTAGAGATCATAATCCATAATTAATTAAGGCAACGCTGGCAACTCGTAAAACGTAGGCCGATTTGCATCTCGTGTTAATTATGTAAATAAAATCATTACTAGTCGAAGTGTTCGACGTAAAATAATGAAGTCATAAAAGCCTAAAAGCTAGCGGTATATAAATAAGAGAGAAGATCGTGCGCCGGAGTCGACGCCAGTCAATACATTCTAATCAGTGATTTATTGCCCCTAATCCTCAGCTCAGCACAAATAAGCTATCTTGTCGACTTAATGTTGTATCAGCTCAGGCGTGAAACTCCCGCGCACCACTAAGTGGTCCTTCCAGTTTCCACTCGAAATATTTTAATAAGGCCTCGCTACTCACGCACCCAAATAAAAACACACGCACTCGGTCCCGGCACTGCGGACCGACTCAGACCTCGCCTCGTTCCAGCTCCCTTTATTTATAATAGTAGCGACACTAAGGATCTACATTTTTGCTCTAAACGGTGTTAATTTATTGACCGTGAGCAGATAATATCACTTTTTTCATCCATTATTAAAGCGATTACACAAGAAATTATACGTCCAAGTCCACTCCTAACCGCTCGATCAGCCGTTAACAGCCAATGGAATGTATATTTAACGACAATGTTTTTAAGTCTACATTCGTTTGCACGGAAGTGAAAACTTGGATATTACCTTACTTGACGAAACTGCCGTACGGACTCGCTAATAAAAAGTGTTAAGTTATGAACGAGTTATGCCACTTGCATTAATTTCGATGCTTAACCTGATAAACAAATTATTGTACATTAAGTTAATAGCTTAATTTATAATTGAAAGTGTTACGACGTATTCGTAAGAAGGCATTGTTACGATCGCCTTTAAGGTAAGGGTCTGCAGTTAACGACAAATTGCGAGGCAAAGATAATGCTATATGCATTAAGAATGCAACACCTTAAATGTCTGAGACATTTTAATTTTGTCTTTGTGCCATCTTAACGGACAGGGTTGTGTATAAAATTTTATTGATATAACCCGCGTGGATTTACAGAATTGTATTTCCGAGTGGTGTTATAAAATTTTAATAGGTTCTGTTGCGTTTTCAGTGTCAATTTAGGAGCAAGGAAATACTGATATTATAGGGTGAGCGTGCAGGTGAGTGCTATGATCGCTGGTGACGTCACCATGTGAAATTTCCCACGATATTAATTTTAAATCTCTTACTATTATGTGACGATATAATAAACTTACGATGGCTATAAATAATTGTAGAAATGACAGAGATATTAGCGACCATCGTATTATAATTTGAAAGGTAATGCAGCCCTGGAGGCATTTGCTCAAAGAAATGTTAGAAATTATCAAGAAAATGACTCATATCAACGCTGCCGACTGTTTTTTTATCACGTATGACTTCCTATTAAAGTCTTGCAAATGCAAATAAAAAATAAAGATGCAATGCTGTAAGCATAGATAAAAAAGACTTTGCATTAAAAAAATGTTACCACCACTATAAAATCAAATCAACATTTTAAGCTGTGGCAATCTGTTTAAGTTTTTATTATTTTTTTACGTATTTGATGTATTAATGTTCTTCTGTGTAAGGGTTTTATCGTCAACTAGACTGTAAACAAAAAAGGACATCTGACGCCCGTATTATCTTAATGGGAGTGTAATGAAACATAGTGCTCGATTGGAAGCTTTTGTATTTCATCTTGTTGGTTTACCATCAGTTTTCACCGCATAAACACAATACTAGAACATAGTTGTCGTCAAACATTTTTCAAAAATTTTTAAAAGAAAATCAAAAAAATTTAGACAAAAAATTCAAATTTAATAATAGTTTGCAATCTATAAATGTCAACTTTTTAATTAAGGTAAACCCTCAGCGGGTATCTGGATAATATCCTATTTATTTAATGCCCTTTGACAAGAGTAATTCGCAGCTAATCCCATTAGTTTATTAGCTATCTACGCAATGTGCTTCATTGATTAACATACTACGTACAGCTTAACCTGAGTATTTTCTACATCATTGTTTCTAAATTATTAAGTAGTAAAATCGCATAACCAATCTAATTGAAGTTAATTTTTGCGTCTATGGATTGAGTAGATTAGAGAGATTAGAACGCCAATGTGACCATTTTTAATGACTGATGTTTGACTTCCGATGGGTCCGAAACTAGTCTGTGCCGCCACCGGAAAAATAGACGTGAGTTAAATATTTACTTGTAATATTGTCTCACGAAATTTAAACAACATTGACTGATGTTTCACAGACTTAGACTTTTTCTGAACTTTCGCCATATTGCGGAAAAATAAGGAACTGATTTCTTTGCGCACATTGATATAATGAAAAAGCGATATAAGATTGAAGCGCTTCCAGTCCAGGAGTCTTATATTCCTGGTAAGGCTATGAGATCATGCTATGTTGATTTAGAACAGCATAGATGTTGACATTTTATTGACTTTGTTGAATAATAAAAAAATTGTTTTTTTTTTTTTTATTGTATGAAGATATCGGCTTATTGCTTTATTAGTTACGAATATTTACACACAAAAATAATTTGATTACGTATATTTTACTTTCAATTCACATATAACAAAGTGTGTTAGGGCCCTAATACTCAAACGGTAAAGTTTGTCACTTTAAGGCTTCAGTAAATTAAGTGTTAAATGACCGCCGAATTTTTGAAACGCGGCGCAGTAATACAATCATATCCGATGTTACGGAATCTTTAGGAACATTTTTGCATATCTGGATTATAAATTGCGTTTTGTAACAAATATTTTTACACCTTTTAAAGTTATACTGTACATTTAAATATCTTTTAACAAATAACAAACAAGCTTACTTTAATCAATTGACACGTGATGCTTGTGGTTCATAGATATGAACATCCATCCTCGATAAGAAAACGAGATCGAGTTGCGTTTTGCGTAATTAAGTGACGAGACGGGCAGGAGGTTTTGTGGCGCCGAGAGTATCGTAGCGCAAACCTAAGACGTAAAATAGTGTGTATTTAACCAGCCTAGAATTACTAGTTATCGATGTTTTTTTAACGAAAGAGGGACAGTCAATTTTTGTATAAATTGTAGCAATAAGCAAGCATAAGCCAACGTAAAAGTTTTGGTCTGTGACTTCACAGATAATGATGTCGAAATAGGTATGTAATGTATAAGCAAATATATTAAAAGATGAATTGTTTCAGTACCGGTGTCGCCATCTTCGTCAGGGGGCGGGGGCGGTGGGGGCGGTGCGGGCGGCGGGGCGGGCACCCCTCTGTACCCAGGCGCAGCGTCCCACCCGCTCTCCTCGTTGCTCTCTCAGCAGCGGCTTCTGGAGCTGTCCCGTTTCGGTCTGCGCCACTACGACATCGCACACCACGTGCTGTCCCAGCAAGGTGCTGTAACCAAGTTGCTCGGTAAGAGTTGACACGAAGTAGCTAGTGCTAAGGCTTAAACTATAGCTTGAAAATTAACCCACGTATAAAAGTAAAATTACGTTCAGATTATTTAAAAAATAATATTTAAATTATGCGTTAGAGAACTCGCAATGCTCGACTGCATATATTTAATTGATAAATCGACCTTCTGCCTACTGGGTATCGGTTGCACCGCAATTAACTCATATTTCATTACAGCGAAATACTCCAGGCTACGTTCAGCGTTATATTGATTCATACGAATGATCTTTAATGTGTTTCTTGTCGATGCTTTGTTACGAGGTGCAAAATCATTCTTAATAATTACTCGTTGAAATATTATTATGAATATTTTAGATGCAATTTTTATACCTCGCTACTCCAAAGACGTAAACATTGGCTTTATTTTATAGTTATCTTCTTTTAGAATACTACCATGTCTGAGTGAACTTTAACAAGAAGCGATGTGATCCAATGATAATATGCACTTTCCAGTAGCGTACTCTTTACTCATCGCTTGAGTGACACGAGCGCTTGTCAAGTCAATTTAAATTGATAAGGGGCTCCAAAATGTGAGCAGGCGTTTAAATACTGAAGATAAAAACAAAACGAACACTTACAAATTTAATGTAAAAAATAACCGAACTTGTTTGTTGCTTTCCATTTTTTACTATAAGATTGAATATTAATATATCATGTTTAATAGTTCCCATTTTTCATTTTTCGTATTGAAATTACTGTTTTTTCATCAAATTCAGAAGGTTCGTTCTAATGCAAAGAATTTAATAGGCACGCCATATCTTCTTCGTATATATAAGATGTTATTATGATTTTAAAAATATTAACAAGCTTACCTCAGTAATCTGGGATTTATAGCAACAAATAAAACATTTCCACCTACCTTGCTCCAAGAACCTACTCGCAGACAAAAATAACCGATTATTAGAAGCAAATTATAATCGATACCTCGGATTGTCAGCATTCAGTGACCAGCCGGTGATTTGTCGAAAGCGACGCGGCTCGATGCTGCATTTAACTCTGATCTAATTATATAGAGCCGCGGCAAAAATCTCAATCGCTATTAATCAACGATAAGCCATCAGCGTAGCCGCTGCGAGAGCCCCCTATTGACGAAAGCTTAGATCCTAATCGATACATAAAACTCGCAGCGTGTTAATTATAAGCCACTGGGCTGCGGACCCGCGAGCTCTGCGTCAATCCTATCTGAACATCGATGATGCCTCTCCTGTAATCGTTTGTTTGACCGCATCCTTTGTTATTATTGCAGTTGCGTTTTGATAGCAATCTTTATTTGTCTGTCGATGTCCGGTGAGATTCCTCGTGTTTTTGCCATAGGCTATTTTAGTTGTTTTCCTGTGTCCTTCTATTTTAGTATAAGAGCCAAGTTATCGAAGTTTATGGTACATTTGAATTTATTTAGTTAATTGTAAATTCACGTTATGAAATTAATCCTGAGGTCAGTTTTGAATTTTAGAGCCATTCATGGTAGTCTTTTGCTATTGGCTTTTCACTTAGCACATTAGAATCCATTAAAGCAACTGAGTAACATGTTCTAACGCAATTTCTACTTAATTACACGCATCTATTCTGTTGAAGTAATCAACTCAGACTAGTTTATAAAACGAAGTGTTTGTAGTTTTTTACATAGACACTTCTTTCTAGTAAAAAGGTGTTTGTAAGAAAAATAAGAAGAAATTCCACAAAGTACGAATGGTATTTGCTGTAATAGGCTTGACACGCGAGCCGCGCGGCTGCACTATCTTAAATCAAATGTTGGTCATTAATTAACCTAATTATTTTATTACCATTAATTGCTCTCACATTAACGTCGATACTGCCGAGATTGGTTTATCACTTCTGGTAAATTACTAACAACGTACACAGTTTTACGAACCACGATAGTTGACTTGTTATAAATTAATTTTATCAGTGATAAAAAATTGTGGCTACTTTTAGAATGGGGTAATAGACATCCTTGATGTACGCTATTTCTTAATATCATCATCTTTGCCCCTCAGCCTACTCCCGTAAGGTCGGCCATAAGGTTTTCACCCTCCAAGTATCATCGGTCATCACAGTCTTCACTTCCTTCTTAATCACGCACCTTTCACGCTAATCCATGCATTTTTAGGTCTACCTCTACCGTAATATATCACGGCTTTGATGGAAAAAGTTTGTCCATAACATTTGTTAGACATCCGAAGAAATTATTCCAGTCAATTAAATCTTTATAACACAGTTCCAAACAAAGCGTACGTTGGGTTCGACTTCGCAAACACTTGCCGGTATTCGCTTAATTTGAGGAATTAGATTCAGGACTTCTATATAATTAGAACACATGCTTTCATTGTATTTGTTCAAGAAACGTGAAAGGACGATTTCAAAAGCACTGAAGCGTACGTCAGCCGACATATAATCATTTTGAACGTCGATCTCACTTGAATTACTGAATGTATAATTCGTGAAATTATTAAGTCGCCGCAACTTTCAATTAACTTAACTCCTTCCTGTGAGAATACAAACATTCTCTTTTGTTGTCTATAACTAAACGTGTCATTTATTATTAAAAGTAACGCTTGAACATCCTTGTTTTATGTCGAGGCTTACCTATATTATTTTACTTTTCATAAAATAAAACGATGAATGTAGATAGAAGGAAGTAGACATTCGCATCCACTTTTATAAATTGAACTAGCTTTCGCCCGCGATTCCATTCGCGTGGAATTAAAAAAAAACATAAGTCTATGTGTTCTTCCAGACTATCCTCTAGATCTACAACAAATTTCGTCGAAATCCGTTCAGCCGTTTAGGCTACAAACTCTAACAAACAATATGATTAGTAATACCATAGCGTAGATTCGTATGATTTAACTATGTTCATATTGTTAAAAAATCCTAAAGTAAAATTGTTACTGAGGACACATGAAAATTTTTATAAGCTGCATTAGTGTGTATACGTGGTGTCGATCAATTTTCGCCGTGGGTGATTTCGTAACGTCAAGTGTTGCGTTCCCACGGAAGCCGGGCTGCGATGCGCCCAGGGCCGTCATGTCCCACCACTTACGTATTTAACATATACCTAACTTAGCTTTAACTTAAAAGTCATTATCTAACGCAAACGTTTTGCGATCTGACGGCGTGGAAATGGGTACGCTTCATCATTATTAAGTTGTTTTACTTCGTTTCACAGTTACATCTTTAAAATTATTAAAATATTGTAAAAAGTTTTTACGACACAAAGTTTAAATGCCGATGCAAAGTTGTTTTGGTATATAAAATATGTTTTGATGTTTATTATTCCTTTTTATGGTTTTCTTGTTGTTTCATTTTATAAAATTAAAATAAACTGGAGAAACTCAACGCTCAAACATTAAATTTTAACAGGTGTAATTGATTTTTATTCCCGTAAAGTTAATCGTAATATTTATAACCTTGCTAAGTAACTGGATATAGAGAAATCTTGAAAGAAATCTTGTCTAAATAATTCGCATTTACTGTCACAGAACATCACACTTAGCATAAAGGTGACTGGCCACCATTGCTAAGCTTTTGTTAAATTCGATCAAATCCAAGAAACCCTTCTGTTTTTAGGTACTTTTATACCTTTCGTAATACTAATATGAAGGTAAATATTTATTTTACAATTCCGAATTCCTCTAGCAGCCAAAAATTAATACCCGGATGTGCGCAACTCTTTCAAAACGACCAATGTACGATGTATTCATTACAAAGAAATTATTTAGAATCAAACAAAGCAACCGAAATCACGGAGTGAGTAATTTCATATTAAGACGGTCATTTTATTTCGTCGCAACGAAAATTTCGTTGGTAGCTAATGATACCCACTGTAGAAGATTGTACGCGGATGGTCGCGGCAACTAATGAAGCCATATTTAGTCTTTGGTACTATAATCAAAATTGAATTACCAGGGTTGACATTCTCGCTACTTTATACATTTTTTCTTTTTCTGCTCCAATTCTCGTAGGTTGGATTTTAAATTTATAATGAACATCGGCGTTCGAGCGATATTTTTAGTGGGGCGTCGCGATAGCCTCGTCAATTGTCATTTCTAATAATACTGCAGTAAGCCTTTTACTTTACCTTTAGACAAATATTATACTATTTTCTATGGCTTGACGGGTAATATGGTGTTCGAATATTAACAAGACAGATTTCTTAATAGGACAAAATTATCAATGTACATTTTACTACGACCGATAATATCAAATTTAAACACATTATAGGTAATTCTTCAAATTCTCATTTGAACAAAACAATTTAGTCAAATAAACATCAATTTTACATATCCACTCATTTATTTGAAGCGAGCTTGAAAACAAAAGAAAAAAGACATGTTTAAAAACGAAGCTATATAAAAAATAAAAACTTAATAAATAAATCGACACGAAACAGTGTGTAGATCATTCCTATTGTTAACTGACAATGTAAACATTATAGGATGCAACCAAAATATTAATACTGTACAAGCATTCTAAAAACGTAATTATTGATTAACCCCTCCCACAGAAGCAACGTGTTCTACATTAAAAAAATCCATCAATCACTGAATCAGGCATCGTTAACACGCGCGTTGCATTAACTTCTATAAATCAGGACCACTTGCCCGGAGATTCTGATCTATTAGTTTGATGACGAAGCAGTTCCCGGCCTCGGTTAGCGCCAGTTAATACGAAGCGTCACTTTTTAATACAAATTTAATCAACCGCACTGGAGCCCTTTCTGCATCGTTTACAATGTTCTTGTCCTGCTTTACGGAATCACCGTGTAATGACTTTAAGCGCCCATAAACCACTTTTGTATGGAAATTTATTGGCTGACGTTTAAGGTATACGTATTGTGCAGTTTGGGACGCTTATTTTCTTCTCAATGATTAATAGTTCGACATTATTTGGCTTTTTTTGTTCGTGCTCGTAGACTAACATCAAGTATTTTAGTAAATATTGTCATAAAAAAAATCAAAATTATGCTATACACTCTTTATTTGGATGGCAATAGTTAATTCGTTTAAGTACGTACATTGGTATCTAGTACTCCCTTTCATCATATTAATCTTATGTTACGCATATTATAAATGCGAAAGTTTAGATGGATGGATGGATGGATGGATGTTTGTTAGAGTTTGTAGCCTAAACGGCTGAAAGGATTTCGATGAAATTTGGCATAGATGTAGAGGATAGTTTGGAAGAACACTTAGGGTACTTTCTTTTAATCTCGTGCGGAGTTGCGGGCGAAAGCTAGTGAGATACTAAATACGCTTCCAATATGTTTAACAAATAACAACAACGGTTTTATAGAGCAGATGAAAATAACTTGATCACAAATAAGAGGTGATGAAGTTGTAGAACTTTCTTGCCATTCGATTTAACATCAATTATAAATATAATTTTGTTAGACGTTTAGTGAAAATCGTGCAATGTAAACAATTTCTGACGGCGCAGTCTGAGAGAGCCGTATCGAAGGCGGAATGAGCCAGGAGCATTCGAGTTTCCCGCAAATAATAACAATTTAAGAGGTACCTCACACGATCTGGCCGCATAGTTGAGTACAGGTAATTGGTCCCGGTCATGCGATTACGTTTCTAGCCGATTTAATTATCGCGAAATGATCAGTGTGCCGGCCTCCCGCAATTTACCTATCAATCAAATGGGGAGCGTTCCGCTTATTGGCGCTCAAACGCAGACAAAACTACGATATCGGTTTTCAATCACTCTTGCAAAACACAGCCTGCAAACCGAGAAGTCGACTTGCAAACCAGAAAAGCAATATGGCCTTCTACACTGCGACATGAATAATTACTTACGCATTATACACACTTAACGGATACCGTAGTACTTAGCTTACCTCTTCGAGCTCTGATTTACTATCTTGAAGGCTTTAAGTAGACGGAGAAAACTAGTAGTTGCAAAAAACAAAAACGACTCGCAGTCTAAACATTATGAAAACGTTACCTTTTTATAATAAAATTAGTGGAAAGATCTCATTGTTCAATAATATTTGTTTTATGATAAAATTCCGATGTTAATATGGTCGGTATGATGTACTCCAATATGGAAATACGGTCAATGATTTTAATTTCAAATATTTTACACGTCAGAAGGTTACAAACCAAAATTCCTTCCGAAGGAATGATTTCAAATTTAGAAGGTATAAAAATTAAAAACTCTGGTGTACGTGATGAACGTGAGATACGGCCTTTTTACCGCACATCACCATCTACGGACTTAAGCATTACTTTTATCAAGACATAAAGACCTTTATGAATTTATCGTGAATGGCGTTGACAAAAATGAGAATATAAATAATGTGTTGAATTATTCAGCGTGATCTGTATGGAGGCCATCGGTTGCCGCAAGTCGGTAAAAACCGTTCGCGCGCCCGCCTGCCGGAATGCAACGCTCGATGCCTTTTTGTCTGATTGTCTTTGGCCACGCACTCATCCATTATCTAACTGAATTAGGAACTATACAGGCCTTTTTTTTTTACTCAACTCCTTACTTTGTTGACTTAATAATTTAATAAACTGTTCCATTTTAATTTCGAATTCAACAGTTCTACTTCTCTGGCTCGTTGAAAAACAAATTTCTTTTCATTAACGATGAAATATTAATTTTCTGCCAAATTGATAATTGTAGAAAAAAGCTCCCTGATTGTAGTAACAACTTTAAAACCTAAGAATTGCACAAGAAAAGCTTTTGTTCTACTATTGGTATTTAAAAAAAATCAGAAAATCTCTAGTTTTCTGTTTTACAATAAAAACATCCAAACATCGATCGTTAATTGCGTTGTCTCTTTTTAATCTGTCGCAGGATTTAATTTGCTTGACAGTCTGCGGTACAAAATAAAAGCTCGTATAATCTGAAGTATAAAAATGAATTATAAATTCTGCTCTCGCTGCTCCGGCTTCGTTTAGTCGTTTTCATTGTTTCTGTAATTAATACTAATTTTCAGTTCCATTGTTACTCTACGCTGACGTTCTGATTATCAATTTTTTATCTTCCCAGTCCACCTTCCCTTTGAATGTTGCGTCGTCACCGATGGCTGAGAATGAATTAGGATTTTGAATCTTATAGCAAGGACGATTAGTATCGGTGATCGAGACTATTTTTGTTGTTTGAAATTTTATTGCTTCGGATCCTCACCGCATACTCACGTTTGGCGCTCAATGAAATTGCATCGATTGTTAACGTGTTGCAATTAGTGGAATTTTTATTATGGATCTTAAGTTGATTTTAACGTTTAGTTCTGTGTGCGGAGGAATGTCGCAGGTGTCACTTTTTCGACACATTTCTGTTTTTGAAATAGCTCCAGTAGACGTATGTCATTGACAAAGATGTAACCCGCTAAATACAAGCGCGAAAGTTAGCTTATTTGAAAATAGTTTTGTACTAACTCAGTAATTAATTTAACGCAATCAATTGTTGTTCAACATTTTATTGGATTTTAGAACATTTAACATCATAATAGTACAAATCTCATGATTCACTGTTGAGTACCTTCATGCTAAATTTATTATAATTTCCAGGTACTCTCAGACCTCCAGGTCTCATTGGCGGCAGCAAGCCCAAAGTCGCCACACCTGCTGTCGTGTCGAAAATAGAACAATACAAACGGGAAAATCCAACAATCTTCGCCTGGGAAATTCGAGAACGACTTATTTCAGAAGGTACGTAATGTGACATTAAGGAATTAGCATCGATTATCAAAGGCTTTTATATGATAAAGTACTCATATACATGTTTTATTTATAATAATTCGTAGCCAGATAATAAATTTGTTTTCAGTCGTAGACAACTTAAATCGTGTTAAGTGAACAATTCCATTGTTGTTGTTTTCTTGGAACTAATTTAATTTACTTTTAAATGTAGAACTATTTTTGTGTATACTATGTCTTATATTAACAGTTATAACGTACTTCTAAATACGTAATTAAAATGTAACAATAGCGTTCAGACTAGGAAATGTTACCTTTATTTCTAGATACTGTTTCTGAAAACAACTAATTATAATTGATAATTCAAAATAAAAATTCGTTGCAATAAAGAAACTAGTTTAATAAAGTCGTAGTTACACTGAAATTATTCAATTGTAGAGTCAGTCACAAATCAGTCAAATCGAGCTGTACCTTAAAGTAAATTTGCGTAAACCAAACCTTTAAGAATAATGACATAAATTTGTTTTAGCTGATGTTAAAATATTCCCCTGTAAAGTGTTACGCGAAAAACGCCAAGAGCTATCACGAACTAACCGATAGCCGCGGTTGATCTCGTGCTTCCAAAATAATGTTCTTGAACAAAGTTTGGACGGATCATTACATAAATTTATACAATTCATTTAATGATGATATATTTATTTATTATAAAAATCCTAATAAATTTTACTGAAAATAAACAAACGTAAACACAAGAGATTGTATCCGCAGAAAAAACCTTTTTAAGACACATAAAACAATGCACAACCAAGTTGTACTGGAAAACAGAGTAACCAATAATTTGTAAGGAAAAATAAACTTTACCTAAGTAATGTAAGATGAGGAATATCAGTTTTTAATTGTTTTTCATTTAAATAAAGATGAATTGAATTAATAAAAGCATTTTTATTGCATAGAGTCGACTTACTTTTGAGCTATAAAAAGAGTCCAAGACGCTACATCCGCTACTTGAAGATGTCAAATTTGTAGGTTATGCAACAAAACTAAAAACATTACTATCGGGAGTTATAATTAACTCCTAAATTCTTAAAAGTTCAATTTAATGCGCGACAATTGTTTATCGTTTTTTTTTCTTCAAAAGAAATTTAATTTAAAAAGGAGAAAAAATTGCGAAGTCAAATTGAAAAGCGTACCGCTATTAAGTTTTTGCGCGCGTGCAAAAACTTGAGCTAAATATTTAAGTCGCATAAACGAAATCAATAAAGCGGCAAACTCGGACAATGATCTTTTTAAAGCGTTGTTGTGTCGTTTTTATATTATTAAACGTGTTAGAAAGAAATAATACGGTAACGTAGACGAGATGTCGGAGTAGTTTCTACATAAAGTATTTAGACACATGATTTATAAATAAGTTTGACTTCTTTATAATTGTTTTAGGTGTAAATTTGATGCGTTAGTTGATGACTTATAAAACATCCAAAAAACGATGACGATCCTCTGAAGTTCAGGGGTGTTTACGTTTCGAATAACACTTCCGTACTCAAGTAATGGGATTTGGGCATTGGTTTAATGAACTTTACTTATTTAGTGTCAAATAGTTTTAGGGAGGTCAGCAGGTAAAGCCATTGAAGTGCAACCCCGAATATGGTCTAATAGTTTCGTAAATGGCCGCCGGCTTACCGACAGCGGATATCTTGTAATACGAGAAGCTCTATTGGTTTTAATGCTACTATGAGCAACGAAAGAACTTTGTTGTTATGTACACGCACATAAACCGACTCTGTGGTTAAAGTACATACATTATGTAATTAAAGAATACACATGTTGATACAAGATTTTTGATCTGTCGAAAAACATGCTTTTGATTAAAGTAAAAATGTTTACATTCACAAAATAGAATCTGCCCGTACGTATTTATGTAGCCTCCATGTATTTTTTTTATTTTGCAATTTAAATCACTTATTAAATTAATCGACATGGCGAAGCAACCACTGCCATTGATTTGATATTCGCAATCGCAGATGTTTTCTTCAATCGCAATCTTCAATCTTCAATCTTCAATCGCAAATCACAAAAGCCTTCTACAAACTATACTAAACTGTATCTCCATATAACATCCAAACCAGCATCATGACTACTCATTCTAGTTTGGATAAATTACCCTGACTTAATCAGTAGATTTGATACTGCAACTATCAGTGCTAAAGTATAAGAGTTGAGTGAACTAATCTCGTATGGGATTAAGCGTCAGTCTGTCAGTCTAGACTAGGGCATCGCGACAGCTGTTACGTTTTACACAAATACCAGCGACGCACAGGAAATACTTGTGGGTGTTCACTAATGAGCAGTTAAAATTGTTGATATTTTACAAAACTAGGTTTCAAAGAGTAATCCTGTTTACTAACATAGATAGATACAAATAATGGTTTTTGTAACTTTCGAGAGCTGTGCGGATTACATTAAATACAAAACTGAATTACGTAAAATATTCTAATAAAAGGATAGATGTATTAATTGATAATAAGAGGGTTTAATCACGGAAGACCGACAATGACAGTATTTTTTTAAATGTAAGAGTTTCTTAATAGTATGAAAATTATATTTAACAGATCTTCTATTGTTTAAATATTTTTGTAATCAATAAGTTCTCTACTAACTCAATTATAACAATAAAGTAAAAACGTTAGCCTAGCTATAAAGCTACCGTATTGACAATTTTTATGAATATTACTTAGTACAAAATGAAAAGCGCACGCATACAAAGTCTTGGTATGCTAATGTACGTAATGTCGTGCAGTTTTACTGCTGTACAGTAGAGTCGAAGAGCATGATGGGCGTCTTTAGCTCGGAGTCCAATAAGCCAATTGCCATAATTGCACCAATGACACCTCTTGTGCCCATGCGTGACAATAAACATCACATTTATATCCAAAAAACGACTCAGCTGCTTTGTAAAATATTAAACGATTTGAACTATAAAAATATGTAACATTAAGTTGAAACTACGTTGGCAAAACTGTAATAAGTATGCCTTTATAAACTGCAACGTTGTGCGTTTGCGTTTTCTCTAGCACCGAGGCAGAGGCAGGGTGCGTGCGATGGCTGGTGTAACAGGTTTCGCTTACGAGACCATTTCTGGTTTACGATATCACCGGGGACCGGATTAGGGGACGATAACGTTCGCGATGGGATCACTGCGCTAAACAGAGTTGTTAAATTGGTCCATGCTCATTAAATCCACAGGTGGCAACGTAACTTCTGAGTGCAGCACCGCGTAAACATCGAATCAAAAAGGAACCTAATTTTATTTTAAAGTTACCCAATTTATACCATTTTATTTTTATTATATTAAGTTGTTCGTTAAATTTAGGATGGTATACATATTTACATTTCACACCTTCCTTGTACATGGTGTCCAAAAAGTGATCGACTTTGTTTTCAAATTGAATGATTTTCATACCTCTGCCATTTGCCGTGTTTTTCCATATTGATAAATGAATTCTAGTACAAAAGGCAACACCAGAAACTTTAAAAAAACCATGCAAAAGATTTAAGGCTATGAAATATATTAAATTTTGTTTTTCGCGTCCTTTTATTTTTATTGTGTTTGTAACTTCAAAATTAGATCGATCAAAATACCACATTTCGAAGTTCCGTCCATTGTCTTCATCGGAATAAGATGTGAAATAATTTTCTTTTGAATTTAGTAAATTGAAATTCGATTTGCGAGTAATCGTTTCCGAATAACCCTTTGGCAAATTCGCGCTTCAATTAAGAATAAAGGAAACAAAAATTATCACTACATACAGGTATCGTGTAACGTGCCGGCTTGTAATTGTGAGCAGGTTGTATGAGCTTCGCTCGAAGAAATATTATTGTTATGCGACTGGTTTATATTTTTTTTTGTTCAAAAGTTGCCTGTCATTACCGTCATTTGTTGAAATGTATTTAAAATAATTGCGCGATCGCGGTGCGCGCCCATGCCTCCGTTGTATGCGAAAATTGCACGCGATCTCGTCACTTGTTTTGTTTAAATGCTCACATATTTGTCGTAAACGTACAGGAAATATATGTACTTAAATGTACATTTATGTATTCTTTTGCGTTAAACATTGCAAATAGAAAAACACGATAAAATAATAATGAAATTGTATTATTCGTCCTACGTTAATAAACATAAGCGTCGCCATAGGTAGATTTTCGAACTATAGCAGCCCCCAAAAATTTAAAATTGATATAAAAACTACTACGAACATGACCATATTATTGGTAGCTGCCTTCCTACTTTTAGGTCATCGTCTGGCGACGTTAATGTTGGTATATCTTAATTTATGAAAACGAGATTAGTTGAATCTTACTCGATTCAAGGCATAGATTCTTACCTTACTGAGTTACATGTAGTTTTGATCGATTGAATTAGATCTATAGACGAGCTCGGTGTGTTAACTTGACCGGCCCTCCTGCTGACAGAAGCCCAGTCACTATTACTATTATTTAATTGTGAATCAGTTGTTAAAAATCTAAAAAGGAAAATATTTCTTAAAATTACTTATTTTACATTTCCTCGCACATTCTTGAATATTATTTCACCCTTAATTCAAAACGTTAAGATTTGATTTAAAAGTTAATTAAACACACATTTATACACGTATTGCTAAATGAACGAACAAAGAATAACTTATTAAATATGTAACAAACTATAATTTGTCATGTCTGTAATACATTAAGTCTATGGTTCATAGAAAAATATAAGCAACAGAATTTTAATCAAATTTGTAACAAAATGATCGCACTCACAATGCCGAGAGTTTTTTATTGAGACGCGTGCCTCGTTCTCAGCTCTCTTATGAAACTAGCCAAATTGATTAAATTTCATAACTGAACGCCGGTACACTTTCAATTCATTCTTTTTATTACGGCTCATTCAATTCTGCGGAACCGTTTATTGATATTGTTAACGTAAGCTGAATTTCGATATCGCAAAATAAATTAAATTAACGGAGTTATGACATCGA